ATAATAATAATAATAATAATTTGCAACTAATGATATAGAAGTCAGTGATTTTGTGATCAATTGAAACACAATGTGACAAATCTAACAAATCTATAAAACTGTCTTATTGTTGAAGATCATTCTGCAAAAATTAAATGGCATCTCTCATATGTTGTTACCATATTTATCATCCAAAAACCTCTTCAATCAGTCTGTATTCTAAAGATATGCATTCCTCAAAAGTTTAGTTCATGCAGAGGTCTTGCTTACTGTATGTCTCCCTCAGCCAAAGATACTGAAAATAAGCCTTCATCAAAATTGCATATATGGACGTACTGAACTCTATGACTGGGCAATAACAAAATGAATTAAGGCAACACACTGTGTGTACATCCATCACCAAAAAGTGAAAAACAAAGTTGAAAGGGAAATTAATTATTCAATTACGGACAGATCCTCCTTCAAGAACCCCAGTCACAATGGTTATTATTGTCCATAATGCATTCCTTCCCTCCCACCCCCCTTGACTTCAGTGAGATATCAGACAGAGAAAGTTCATGCCATATTTCCCAATATTGTATCCCTGCAGGTTGAAATCCTGTACTTCAAAACATGCCCATACATGCATGCTCATGCTCAAAGGGGCAGTTCATGAGAATCTTGCTCCATTTTTGACCAATACAGTCCTAGGTTTATGAATAAGTACCTTCACTCATACATAAAATGTGCCTATTTGAACACCAAAATAAAAAAAAAAAAACTACAACGTAAATTGTCAGCAGGAGGGAGAGAGAATTTTGATGCGTTTTCGACTGATTTCAACCTCAGATCAAAACTTGTCCATCTATTTCTTATGATAACACCCCTTTGAAAGCTTCAGGGCACTAATACACCTTGTATTGTTACACGACTATGTTACTTCAGAGGGCCAATAACTAAATTTAATCAGTCAGATTGTTCTATTATTGCCAGTCCAATATCGTTGGTACTGGACTGGACATGCGAAGGATCCACCACGATAACCCTTGAAGCTTTTCTAGTAGGTTTGTGGCCTATCTATCTTAAAGAACTTGCTTTCACCTATAACATTCCTTTTCTTTTTCTTCCAACTCTCTTTCCCTTCTGTTTCGTTCAACAGCTGAGGTGAAAGTGTACTGCTGGTTGGCGCCCAAGCAGAATTGCACACTTTAAGTTTGCGACGTTTTTCCAATCAATGATTGCGGCACTTTTTCTGGACATTTTTTGTCACTTAATAAATCTCCTACACGTATTTACCAAGCTTGCTCGAGGTTATCGGTGGATGTTCATACCCAGTGATGTAAATGTTATGTAACCACCCACAGTTTAAAAAAATAAAAATAGAAATTCTCCACTTACGATGCTGCAGTAGCTGTAAATGTACATTCCCAATGAAAGATAACAAAAGTTATACATGTAAAAAGAGACACAAAAACAATAACGTCAGCTGTAATATGTGCCAGACCTAAGGTGTGTTAAAAATTCTAGAAAAATTGCTATACTGGACTTAGGAGTGACTTCTTAAAGAGCAATAGACCATATTCGTACTCTCGGTAGTGGACTGGAACTAGCTTGCAATAGGGGCTCATGCAGGGGAATATCATTAAAAAGAGATAGATGTCATTTGGATTTAAAAAGACTCCCTGCATTAGCCTCAGTTGCAAGCTATAGTTCCAGTCCAACACAGAAAATACGAATAATTTTATGGTCTATTATCAAATACGTGCTCTAAAATCTGGCATTCACTAGTTGGTGTAGCTAAATTAGCTGGCAATGATTTATGTCTTGGGCTGAGCAGTTCAACTGAAGTGTTTTACATGGCACTGAAACTGAATTTCTTATGAATCTGTGACTAACTTGTAGAGAAGGGAGAAAAAGTAGATTATTTCTTCTTTAAAACAAAATCTTTTAGCAAAACTAGCAAAGAAAAACAGAAGACCAGGATAAAAACACTTTTAAGGTGATTTCCGCAGAACATTCGAGCAATAATGGCAAAAATAAAGTTACCAAAAAATCCTCATAGCATGGAAATATTTTGAATAAAGGAAAGAAGAACTTATCGAGATTAAAGCTCTTAAGCTGACCCCGCGAGAGAAAATTGAACTTGAATTTATCCATACTTCAATGAAAAAAGACGTTTCGCATTAGTTGAAAGCACAATAACACACGCGTTAAGCATTCTTACGAGGTTTGACATTAACTTTTTAGAGAATGCTTGGGGGTTTAACCATGGGGTCACCTAGAGTAATGAATTACAATGAAATTTTTTAAATAGTATTCAAAAAGTTAATGTGCTGTGAGTAGATTTTTAGTAAATATTTTTTGCACCTATAGCTCAAAGTCTGAGCGGAATCTTTTCACCTGTGCTTCGACGTTTGCAGATGTACCAGCCAACAGCAAATATGACAGTGCAACCAAGCATGGGTCCCGCAATATAATACCACTCCAGAACCAGCCTGGCAATAGAACCTGAGTAGGGAACATTTAGCATGACTATACAAAACTTCTGTTTGGTAGTTTTCTATTTTAGTATTGTTAATCAGGTGGGCGGAACAGTGGCCTAATGTTGGCACACTGGACTTGGGCCAAAGCTGTCCAGGTTCAAGCCCTGACCAGGGTCATTGCATTGAGTTCTTGGTTGAGACAATCACGGTGTCACTCTCAATCTCACCTTGGTTGTTCAAAAACTGATTAGTGCTAACCCAGTAAGACCCTAAATGTGAGCAAATGAAGAGGCCTCTGGATGTCCCAGGCACCTTGCCTGCACGTACCCACTAACCCACCCGATCCCAAGCATAGCAGCTGTGGATACTGGCTCCCCGACCATGGCCTGCATGTCACGGTGGTGGTATAGGCTAAGAAGTAAATGTCATCTGCATAATCAAGATCACTGAGCATGTTTGAGAAAGTCTGTCAAATGCCCTTTTCATTTTTTTTTTCTTTTGCGGCATAGGAACAGGGAGAGTATTCACCCTTGATTGACACTTGTTTTGATGAGCGAAGACTGTGTCAACTTGTTTCTGCAAATGACCTGGCCTTGGCAGTCATGGTACAGATTCATGATGATATTCACTATCTTGGATGGTATTCCGTAGTGTCGTAGGATGCGCTATAGCATTTCTCTGTGAATACTGTCAAACGCTTTTTCAAAGACTGTGAAGGTGGTATCGACGTCATTAACACTCTATTTTGTTTTTTTTTGTTATGTGCTGTTTCACTTTCATACTTGTTCCAAGATCTGCCTGAGCGTTAAGATGTGGTCACTGCAAGAATTCCCTTTGCATGTTCCCCTTTGTTCTTCTTTGCTTGTAGGACTCAAGAGTGTTATACCTCTCCAGTTGCTAAAATCAGATAGGTCTTTCACCAGCTTCTCGATCAAGGCAGTCTTAGAGTCTTCAGGCATATTCTTGAAAATCCAGATTTCGTGGAAAATCTTTAGCAGGATGGTGGGCATTAGAAATTCTACTGCTTTTAATAGTTCAGTGCTGATGTCGACTACTCGAGGTGCTTCGTTATTCTTCATCTCCCTGATGGCCTTGATTTCTTGAATTGACTGCAGCTCAGTGTTTATGTCCATGTCTTGAGCAGCTTTGGATATTGGGGCTGTGTTTTCAGGTTTCGGATGATTGATTGTCTTCTACCTTGCCAATCTAAAGAGATGGCAACAGATGCTCTTGCCATCTCTTTAGATTGTATTCCACTAGAGACAAAACTCTGCTGTTTCATCCTTCACAGGCATGTTTCCACTGTTATATCCAACTCTGAGTGTCTTCATGATGGTATATAGCATATTCAGTTCCTGATGTGCTGTAACCACTCTCGGAGATTGGTGATGAGGCGCTAGAGTGTGGACGTGCGCTCCGATGAAAAGTTCGTAGAAAACGCACTGAAATGCCTCTCCTGCTCTCTGGTTTTAATCTTTACTATTAAAAACGAGTAGAAGTAGAAGTATGCCACCAAAAAGGCAAGTTCAGACCCAAGGCAAGCGAGCGAGAGAAGGCAGTTCTAATAGTGACCAAGATGGCGACGCTATTTACCTTGAAATGCTAGAACGCATTTCAGCACTAGAAAGCAAAGATAAAGAAAATACGAAGAGATTAGAAGATATGCAATCTGGACTCGACCAAGCAAATGCAGAAATCTCTCCGCTATGCGAACAAGTCAATTCGCTAGAAGAATCCCTTTAATTTACACAAGCAGAGCATAAAGAAGTCAAGGAGAGAGTTAACAGGTGCGAAGAAGATCAAATGAGGAATGAATCGAGGATGAGCTTATCCGACAGAATATTTACAGCAGACGTGGGAACTTAATCATATATGGGATAGAGGACTCAGAGAGAGAGAACTGTACAGCTCAAGTCAAAAATGTAATGTTGTCCGCTAGATTAGCGAAGAAATAGTCAATTCAACGAAATTCTGTGACCGGCATCGTTTAGGTAAGTCTAAACAAAGTAGTGGAAGGCCCAGACCGGTCATTGCGCGTTTTACTTGTCGAGAAGATCGAGACTTGGTTTGGCGGCAAAGATACAACCTAAAAGGCAGTCGTTATAGCCTTCCCGAGGACCTGCCTCCGGCTGTACGGAAAATCAGAAAAACGATATTAGTACCAGCAATGAAGTAAGCACGAAAGATAGCGGGTACGAGAGCTACGATCACTGGAGACCGTCTTATTGTAAACGGAAAGCGCTACACTTTTGATCAAATTCCAAAAAAATGGAGTAGAAACAACGAAAGCTGAATAACAAAGTTAAATCAGACTCGTCTCGATGTTATTATTTTTCCTTCTTCTTCCCTCCTTTTATTCCCTACAAATCAAGAGCTTGTCAAATTTTGATGTAAATGGTGATGTTTATTCGGAGTGCCAAAGAAAAAATACGTTTGTTTAAGGTCGTTTGCATTTCGCAAAATAATCTTTATAACCAAAAGCCAGTCTGAAATGCGAAAAATTATATGTATTCCTTCGCGTTCAGGTCTTTTTGGACCTTTTAATGTCAGTGTTATTCTTTTTGTTTTATTTTATGTAAGTACGCTTAATTTTTCTCTTGGTTTGCGTTACAAACACGTTTTTCAAATGCTATCAAACAATCAAACATATCTAGAATGTAAATCGGATTTTTCTATATTAAGATACAAAATCAAAGTCCAATATGCAAATTTCAACAGTCTAATCTGTCAGAAACTGTGAAAACTGTCGAACCGTATGAGCGGTTTGTTGATCTTCTGGGATCTGTGGCAACACCCTTTGCTTTAATTCTTAATGACTAATCTTTGTGATATCAAAGGCCTATCAGTGAATGTCAGGGGACTAAACAAATCGCTAAAACGTCGCGCCGTGTTTAGGTGGCTGCATCATCAAAGTAGCTCCTTTATCTTCTTGCAAGAAACATACAGTGCAAAAGAATGCGAAAACGCCTGGCGAGCAGAATGGGGAGGCGAAATTGTCTTTAATCACGGTACAAATCAAAGCAAAGGGACCATGATTCTCTTTCATCCAAAATTAAATTGAAAAATTGAAAAACAAATTAACGACAGAAACGGTAGATACATAATTTTAGACGGGATGTTTTCAGATACACGACTTGTACTTGTAAACATTTATTCACCAAATGATGTCCATCAACAGGTCTTCTTTTTTAAAGAATTACAACATCAACTTAAAGACTATGCAGAAGAAACAATAATCATAGGTGGCGACTTTAATTGTACGTTGACTGACATAGATAAGAAGGGCGGCAATCCTTTCTCCCGGAAAATTAATAAATTATGTGATATGTATGAGCCAACGGACATCTGGAGGCAACGAAACCCAAACGAAGAGAAGTTTACATGGCGAAATAAGTCTTAAAATACAATGTCGTCTTGATTATTTTCTAATTTCCTGACAGCTAATGAACCTGACCAACAAATGCACAATCACTTTCGCACCTGAAACGGACCACTCTGCTATTTTTATTCACTTTAAAAGTGAAGAACTCAAATAAAAGAAAGGTCCAGGTTTTTGGAAATTTAATCAGTCACTCTTTCATGATGAAAATTACGTGTCATTGTTGCGTGTATAACTCAAAAATTTCAAGCAAAAGTACACTGATGTCGAAGATTTAAACCTGAAATGGGATCTGATTAAAATGGAGATTAGAGGTTTTACCGTGGAATATTCCAAAAACAAATCTAGAGAAAGAAAATCCACTGAAACCATTCTCCAGAACCGCATTAATGATCTGTTTAAAAGAGTTGAAGCAGAACCAAATAACAAATATATAATTTGTGAAATTCTAAACATCAGACTTCGCCCGAGGATTATGCAATACAAGACCAAAGGTGCAATTCTAAGAAGTAAGGTGAGGTGGTACGAAGACGGCAAACGCAACACCCATTACTTCTATAACCTTGAAAAAAGAAATCATGAAAAAAAAAAGACAATTGCAAAATTAAAACGCTCAAACGGCACAGTCACAAACGATCAATTCGAGATTCTCTGAGAGCAAATGGAATATTATAAAGCTCTTTACACTTCCGCCACGCATCCTGAAAATTCAAACGATGCAGGTTCCGCTTTCTTCGAAAACATTATCCTTCTAGAGAATACGGACCAGCAAATGTGTCAAGGAAAGGTCTCCGCTGAAGAATGCCTGAAAGCCTTAAATGATTTCCAAAACGAAAAATCGCCGGGAACAGATGGATTACCTGCAGAGTTTTATGAATTTTTTTTGCAAAGAATTGCATCTTCATATGGTAAAAAGTTCTTACGTTGCTTTTGATACAGGAACTTTGTCAATTTCTCAAAAAAGAGGGATTATTACACTCATCCTGAAACCAAATAAAGACACCACATCACTGAAGAATCTCAGATCAATCTCTCTTCTTAACGTTGGCTATAAAATGCTGACGAAAACAATTGCGAAGAGATTAGAAAAAGTTCTTCCAAAAATTATTAACCCTGACCAAACCGGTTACGTTAAAGGCCGTTCTATCGGTGAAAAAGTTCGTTTAATTTTGGACATAATGTTATATACAGACGAGAAAAATGTCCCGGGAGTTGCCCTTTTTATTAATTTTCGAAAAGCTCTCGACACTATTGAATGGGATTTCCTTATCGACACCCTTAACAAGTTTAATTTTGGACCTGACGTTATAAACTGGGTGAAATCTTTTACAACAACGTTACAAGCTGTGTTTTAAACAATGGCCATGCGTCAGGATTCTTTGCTTTAGAGAGGGGTGTCAGCCAAGGTTGCCCCCTGTCCGGTTTGCTTTTTGTGATAGGTATCGAAGCTCTTGTCAATGCAATTAGAAACAAAAATACGATAAAGGGAAGTAAAGTAGGTGAGAAAGAAATCAGAGCGTCTTTATACGCTGACGACACCATGGTTTTCGTGCGAGACCTGGATTCTATACCAGAACTACTGATACTTCTAAATAACTTTAAAAATCTCTCTGGCTTAGAAATTGATGCTACAAAAACAGAAGAGATGTGGCTCGGTAGTTGGAAAAACAACCTTGAAACTCCATTCGGTTTTCGCTGGCCACGAGACCCAATAAAAGCCCTTGGTGTTTTTTTGTCATACGATTCGCGTAAAGCAGCTGAGTTACATTTTACAGAGAAAATCCGGAACCTAGAAAAGACTTTAAATAGTTGGAAGAGAAGAAACCTTACGCTTCTTGGTAAGATAAACATCGTTAAAATGTTAGGTCTTTCAAAATTAAAGTGGACCTAACCCCCGAATTTTTTTTTTTCGCTAAAACGAATCCACTTGTTATTTGAAGCATATGGGCGAAAAAAAGTTTTGAATTTGGTTGAATCCTCGATTTTCTATGCCCTTTCAAAGTCGCGACTGAAGTGTTACACGACCGCGTTTCAGGGAGTCTGGGGCGGCGGTTGCTGATGACGTCTACCCAGGAACCAAA